AAGTTTATGAGGAAGATATCTACTGCAGTTAGTTATACATAAGTTTATCTTTTAAGTACATTAGAGTATACGAAACAGCTTTAAAGCTGTTTCGTTTTCATGAATGTTAGTATATTGATATAACTGTAATTATTTAGTAAATAGTAAAACTATACTGTTAATACCTAATTTGTTGAATTATATTAAACATCATGTTATAATGTTTCTAAAGTAATAATTTACACTCACGTACCTAATGGGGCTACCAGAAATGAATGCAGCGAAGCATACTATACCATGCATTTATAAATTTTGACACATACGAAATCAATTCGACGACATTTTCTAGCTTTAATAAACTAAATATGATCTTATAAATGGGCAATTCCCCTTAAACTGCGCTATATTAAATTAAAATTATTTATTAGTGGTCAAATAATATGTCCTAAAATTATTTCACCTAAGTGTATGTTAAGGACTAAAATTTCACGAAGTACAGTAACACAATGAGAAGAGACACTTTCTCTTCCTATCACTTTTACTGTTATACCGCTACTCCGGTAATAAAGACTAGAATCATTCTAGAGTAAAATCACTAGGTAATCTGCTATAAAAGAACCACGCTTCCTTTGGCGATCCCTAACCAACTATGTATAGTAGTCAGTGTAACCCACGAAGAACTCGGAGAAATCACTAAAAAGCACTTTATTCATCATTGACGCGGTCTTAAACAGATATTTAATATTATGATAACTCCAACCGCATCCAGAGTTATAATGTTAGTAAATTTTCTAATGGATGCCAGCGCATCTAAAATGTATCATTCAGGACTTCTTAAAAATCCGGTCTAGCTCTGGCAATTACAACATTTCTATCGCATGAATTACTATTACAATTTAGCATAATTTTGTGTTAAATCTCCATAGTTGACATGTAAGCTATAATTAGTAATTTTACATAACAATCTGTGTTAGCACCTACGAATAATTCAAGTACTGTAGACAGACTATTTTCAATCCTAAGACGTTCAAATTTAGGTATAATCTAAATATAATCAGGGCTTAATTTACTACAGTCTTTACGATAAATTTCCTATTAAGTCAAATACGAACTTATCTTTCTAAAAATTAACAGTTGATTATCTTTCAAGGTATTTTACTACCGTTGACAGTGTGTAATTAAGTTTTCCATTGTGTATTACTCATTTCTGGATTAAAGTATATTATAGTTCTTAGTTCATACATGTTCCATATCAGCAACACCGCTTAGTCATATCGTTATCATACGTATGAAGATATTGATATTCTAACAGCAATTAATAACAATATTCTATGTAGCATGTTGTTCTTTTCCTATTGTTGTATATAAGTTACGGATTCTATGAAAGCGACTTATCTTACTAAAAGTGTGTTCTACTATTCACCCGTTCTTGAGTAGGTCATTCTCTTCAATAAACTACATTAATAACTTCTTTGTCGTCAGTGCCATTATGTGTGGCCGATCAATTATAACATTTCCCAAGAAAGTTAGCGAACGGCTTAAGATGATATGATTACTGTCAGATAGAGAAGACCTAGGTCTTCTCTATCTACTGTCATTATTTCTTGTGTATTCCTCAAAGTAACGCTGTTTGATGTCCCAATCCAAAAAAGAATCTTGTTCTGCACCATTGTCTCTTAATTTTTACATACAAATTAAACTTTTTATATAATAAAGATTTATAATATATCTTATAAGTATATAAGATATTGCCGCCTAGTCATCAGAAATAGTAATAGAGAAAAATATTGATTTGCAATAGTTTTAATGCACTGCATAAAAGTGGAAATTCGATTGAAATTATCGCAAGATTTCCAAGAATTCATAGTTTAATTCCGCTAAAATGTAGGACGTGGTATCATTTATCCAGTCTTTATTGATCTTCCGAATTCTCATTGCCTTCTTCTCAATACTGAATGTAATTCGCGAGCTATTTCAATTAATTCAAGAGGTAAGACAATATATGCTTATCATTGTTACATTATTTAAGTGCTGTAATTTTAGGATCATTCATTTAAGACTCTGTCTAGACTGATTTCAAACTGTGTCGTACTATGTTCTTTTTTTAATAAGCGAGGACGCTATTTTATGTGCTTCGAAAACTATTTTGAGCTAGCTCTTCATGTTATGGTCATCATTTTTATTGCGGATGGTAGCACTAATCCAACTACATGGTCCATTGGTAGCATCGCCATTCAAATGGCAGTTTTCGAATTAGTCATATTTCTAAGAAAGTAAATTATCAGCATATTTCTAGCAGCGTTTTAAATGTAATGTGTATTTAATTTACTGCATTATCTTGAACTGATGCAACAATAACGTAATAAATTCATTTACAGATGTAGTTATAATTTAAAATAGTATTGCAATTGGATTAATTTAATAAAAGAAGGATTAATATTTATCGCATTATTGAAGTAACAAATATCCATTTACAGGCTACCAGTTATTGGAAAGTATGTACTTATGGTTCGAACTATGACTCGTACCATTGTAAAGGTATAGTTATAAACGGTCATAGCTAAGATAGCATTACCACCGTAATTTGATTTTATCGTTTTATCTTAGTAGCAGACATCCATATTTTTACGAAATAAAAATATATGCCCATGGCTCACCATTAAAATATTAATCATTTTCAATTAGGTACTCGTTATTGTACTTATATTGGTATTTGGTTATGCTATTAGCTTTAATATGCTATGCAATCGTCAGGTTTGTAAAGTAGACATGTAAGATTTCAATTTCAATATCTATGCTTATGGTTAATCTGATAAATCCATCTTTCTCGTTATTACCGCAATTATAATTAAAATAACATAAACTTCGATCTAATCTGTAAAATTACAGGACTTTAAACAATCATCATTAATACTCAAAATTTATTAATAATATCAGGCAGCATTCTACAATATGCCTCTATCGTTTATTAAAGTTATCGATATGATGATCGGTGAGGTCGACTATAAAGATCTCTTTCTAGATGGCGTTAAAAGCGGAAAAATTCCTTTCCCAGCTGGCATCGTGACATTTTTTCTGCTAATGATTTTTATCTTAATGATGCCGATATTAATCATGAATTTGATGGTAATCTGTTTAATTTATTATACATGGTAATAAAGGCAAATAGGAATGGAATTAATATGATTTTCATTTTATTTATATGCAGATCGGTTTAGCTGTAGGAGACATCGCTGAAATGGAAAGGGAAGCTTCACGACGTCGATTAGTTGATTTGATTCTTTTTTTTAATAGTATCGAAAAGGGTGTACCCAAATTTTTACGTAAAAACTGTAAATTAATCAAATTTACTTGCACTGAAAAAGGAAATGTAGAGGTATCATACATTGCTTGATATTAGCAGTCACAATCTTAAGCCTTAATATCATTTCGCGAATTTCTAAACCTAATTTAGTCTTAGATAGCTACTTACTAGCTGCATTTATTGAAAGTTACCGAAAAATTTTATCATTATCTTAAACGTAAATAGGTCAATAAATTAGATGCAAACGAAGCTAAGCAAAAACAATACTATGAATCTATCGAGCAGCACATGAACAAAATCGAGCGTATACTATTAGACCAGCAATCAAGGTTTAGCGAATAAATTCTTGGTTATCGCTTTAGCTGTATTATTAATTTACATCTAAACCATAATATTATTGTCAATCTCCTAAATATTGCAGACTAGAAACTATCGAAGCTAAATTGGAATCTGCAGGAAAATCTGAAACACCACCATTAAATGAAGAATGAAGTTTTTAATTTTGTATTTTTATAACCATACAGTACAATAATTATAGTATATTGTACTTGTATGTATATACGCATGAATCTTTAGAATTTGCCTCATATCTAAGTGTGCTATGGAAATAAAATAGGAACTACTTATATGCAGTACAGTATGATGCTACAAACGCCATATTCTGGATTATTGGATATTCTTAGTTTGTTAGTTTCGTAGATTAAATTAAATGTATTAGATTTGATCATGCAGATGTTGGGTATATTTTTTAACATACAGTCGAATATTGACATACTAAGCCTTCTAAGTATGTTAGATTAAATAATATATACGCACTCTTTATAATTTAGCAGCATTGTGAAATCAGTAAAATCTTAATGCTACTCTGTAACAAATAGACTAAACTACCATATCGACGTTAACTACCGTATATCACTGAAATCGGTTTGTTCGGTATGTTCTACTAACGATCACTGCTATTGATCATTTCACTGCTTACACAAGTAATATTATTTTTAACTTCGAGAATATGGATATGTAACGAACTATCACTCTTAATACGATGGCAAAACATGGAATACATCATACTTTTTAGACTAGCAAAATATATTGGTACACCTATGAAACGACAAGTATTATACCTATAAATTGTCAATTAACAGGCTATGATAATATCATCTATTAATGTGCATTATTAAGACAAAATATCTGCAGTAAGAAAGCAATTTTGCTCATTCTAGAATGAGATCTATATGCTGTTTGAGTACTTGCAAAGAAAAGTAGCAAGAGCTAATTTCAACGTCATAGCAAATAAATATATGACGTACATCATCCAAATTACCAGCATGAAATATAATGAAGAACTAGAAGTAATATCAGAATGAGTTGAGATTAAATTAATACCTATTCGTTAGCATTGTTTGTTTATAGTACCATATTGTGAAATATAATTAGACGAAATTGATAAAAGCTTAATTGAAAAAGATCATGATGTAAAGGAGAACGTTTTCAGTTGCGCACTTGGGCAATGTGAATGTGTAAACAGTCATATTTATTTACAATCTGTTGCCTTATGGTAATAAACAATAATTGAATTAAAATTCTGTCAATAATCCCAAGAAATAGCGATTTCAAGCGATAACTTTAAAATAAAATCCAGCTATTAAAATCCTTTCTTTCGACAATATTATTATCGGTTCAAGTTTACTTGTATTTTGATGCACTAAGTTGTACAGTAATGGAGATGTTTAGAAGATCTGATTGGTCAAAAACTTCGGTTTTATTTAGTAAAACAAGAAATACAGCTGCTCACGATATACTGCAAGTAAGATCAAATACCAAGTTGTTTTATTGTCTATTACTTTTAATACAATAACTAAACTAAACTAAGCGCGAATGCTAGTAGTCTGAAATGAGGCTATCTGAGATATCAAGAGAGCATTTCTGCTCATTTAAATGCAGTTTATATTCAACTTTTCCAGGCCTGCTTGCCACTGTTTTATGTATTATTATTAACTTAGTCGTCTCTTAGCATACAATACTTTCATAAAATTTTAAGTCTTTTGCTGGTTTAATGATGTAAAGTTAGCATAAATATCTTTAATTTTTATAATCTCTACCGATTAATCAAAAATTCTCAGTGACCACGATAGCAATTCCTTACTAAAATCATGATCATGCAAACATATCGTCTTGCCTTTGCTATCATATCGAAAATTTCATCAACCTATTCATCACTCTCTATGCTAACGCTAATATTAGGCTGCAAAAAGTAGTGATATGCTGCTTTTACAGCAAGTTCTACCAAATGAAGGAATCGAAATATTTGCTAACCAACTAGATCGCGATCGTTTAGCCCCATTACACTATGCGGCTAGAGGTGGTAATGTTGAACTCATTGAAGGCTTAATTGCAAGAGGTGCAGGTTCGTTAATCATTCACTAGTAGCTACTTACAATGCAAAAGATTTGATAATATTGACAGTATTTGTAATAATTAATTATGAATCAATATGCATTATAATTATCAAATCCTAGACTA